AACTTGTGATTAAACCCAGGGCCTTCACACTGAGCTATACACTCAGCCCTTTGATTATTTTGAGGCAAGATCTCATTAAGTCACTAAGTTGTCCAAGCTGGACTTGAACGTGAGATCTTCCTGCCTCAGCCTCCCAGAGGTTCTGGGATGACAAGCGTGTGCCAACCACGCCCAGATAGCTGTTTAAAAGCAGTGCATACACAGCGTTAAATTTGTCTGGCTGAAAATTTAAGGAGGAGAAACAAAATCTTCTTAAAGATTCAAACACATTTTTTATTAGCAATTTAATTCCATTTTCTGAAGAAGAAACAGGAAGAACAGGAGCTGGGAAGAAGAGGGATAAGCTACCAGAAAAGTATCACACTATGATGAAACGTGGACAGGGAAATAGAATAATGGAAAAATGAGCAGAAAAGAGGGGAAAAATTAATAAACCTATGTTACTCAATGCCTTTGTTCACTTCATTGAAGCGTAATATGAAAAATAAACATCACATATTCTGCCTTTTGATGAATAGGTGTTTCTTCTCTTCATATAGAAGAGCATTACAAAAGTCACTAAGGGTAGAAATGCTCTGCTGCACAGCACTGATACTACCTGCCCCCGGCCCGCCGTGACCGTTCTCCCCGCTGACCATGCTGTCTAATCCGGGCTGCCGACCTCTTCTCAGTCAGGCGACTTCACACCACGTGACAAACGAGAGCACAGCCCAGCCAGGCATAGGCCAGTCTGCTCTTGCGTCTCAGCTGAACCCAAGAAAGCAAAAGTTTCACTTCACTTCGGAGAAGTGAAATTTGCTCAAGAATGAAGGAAGTTTAAAATTAAATATGAGTAAATAGATCTATACGAACGTTAAGCCACCAAACATCATCTGTTCTGGGCACTGAAAGACAGTTTTCATGTTTTCCCTATGAACCTTAATTTAAAACTTCGAATTCACAATCATACTCCACACCGGTAAACAATAAGATGAGTATTACGAAAATTATCTCATTTAGTTAGAACAGTTTTAACACAGACTTTCTAAATAGTTTCTGTCAGCATGCATAAACACTGAAAATCCACTGAAACTTTCCTGTATTGAACGTGAACAAGACATGCACCATGGAAATTGTTTTAAGTGGAGGAGAATTTTATTTACTCAGAAAATCTTGCATAGACAAATATAGGTCAAATGCATTCAAAATGATATAATATAGGAATGCAGCCGAACATTCCTGTAAATTAATGTGAGCCTACAGCATAGAATCTAAACAAAATCAAATGAAAAGATAATAAAATAGAGCCGACATTTAACATATACTGGATCTGATCTAACCCTAATACTGAGGATCTAATACCAACAATTTTTATGATGTGAAGGCTAAGACGGAACCAAAATTAAGATTGATTTATGCAACAGATAAGGCAAAATATACTGGAAAAGCAAATCCCATTAGCAGCCTTATTCCTTGTTAAAAGTTTAAAAAAATACAGGACTCAGTTTTCCAAAACTTAACCCATGAAAGGTGGAGCTAAAAATATCAGCCTGGAATCATGAGAAACGGGAGGGAAGACCATTTCCTCGGGGTGGCTTCACCACTGGAGAAACGGTTACTTCTGGAAAAGTCAAAGGACTCCTCTCAGACCACGTACCCTTGCGCTTATATTTTCTTTGTCGAAAACTTGAAAACAAAGAGGCCGGCAACAGTTAGTAAGCTCTTCAGTGCTAATTTTGAGGGACCCTGAAAAGTACCAGTGCGGGCACACTGAGCCAAGCACCTGCCCTACGGCCTGGCATACACACTGGCAAGGCAGCGCCAGAGGCTGCCCAGACATTTGCAACACAGTACAGATCCCTCAAGGAAAAAGAATCACCGGACGATCTATTGATTTTCCAACAAACGTAAGTGTCATTTCAAAAGCAATCACAATCCACCCTGTCAATGGAATCCAAGCTAGTTCGTCATATAAAATTTAAGGTGAGAAGGAAATGAAGTAAACTGTGCCAAAGGAAAACGTTTTGTCACACCACAGAAAACTGGGAATTAACTGAGCTCTCCCCAAAGAAAACGGAACCCCTGGTACGCGAAGTGTGTATGTGGCTTTTAAATAAGGTCAGTGAAATCTGCCTGTGTAGAAACCAATCCCCTTAAAATGTTGCATTTGCAAAACTACAGAGATTTTTCTTGTTAACCTTCTATTGTTGTGGTAAAGCTCTATGATAGGTATAATTTAAAAGAAAACAACAACACACATCTACATGCACTGAGACTAAGATCTAAGATTCAAAAAAAAAAAATCACCACATTATGCTCTAGCCTTAAAAACAAAAAGAATTCATTGTGATGTTGATAATTCTTATACAGGTATGATCTGGTTTACTACACAAAAATACCCACATATTCACAGATACCATATGTACATATGCATACAAACATATAATGTACATATATTTTATAAAGATGTGATTACTACTCATTTGCAACGTGCAACTGTACACATATATCAAAAGCAGACAAACTCTAGAAGAGAAAGTTTATTGGCTTTTTAGAAAGATTCTCCAAGGGTTACCCAGAGTTTCCACACAGTGTTTTGAAAACAATTCTGTTGTCTTCCTTTCAAATCAAGCATTTTCTTCTAGTATGGGTTGTTTCAATGCTTGTGACATGTGAGGAAAACAACACACTCTTCCTGAGCAGTACTCGCTATCACTGCCGCTAGACTTCAGTCACTGGTGTCACTGTCAGTGACGAAATAAAGGTAGGTGGCTGGACATCCTCACAGGAGCATTCTGCCTGTGTGAGGCCTGCTCTGGGCCTGACCCCATGCGGGGCTCTTCTCACACATTAACTCTCTTAATGCGCATGAGAAAACCCATACTGCAGATGAGGACACCTGAGTGCAGAACAGGTAAACAGTTTGCCAAGGAGACCTAACTCTCTGCAGAGCCCTGGTTCCAAACTTGCCATCTGGCTCTGGCGCTCCACTGCACTGACCCACTGAGTTTGGGCTGCTTCATCTGTAACCTTGGAGAGACCTTACCTTCCAGGATGTTGGATTAATGCTCGAATGAGGTCCAGCATAAAACAAGCGCACAAAAGAAAATATTAAAGAAATAAACCTCTAAAAATGGAAAATAGTAACTTTCCTTCCTGGTGGCACTTATATTGTGGTCTTGAGTGACAAAGAAGCAATACCAGTTGACCCCATATGGCAAATTGGAGCCTTTTTTTGGGTGGATTAATACCCAAATAATATGTGCTTACAAAGATGTGCAATTAACACAAATTGCAGTGTGTAAATAACCTTTCAACATGAACTAATTGTACAGCAAATGCTTTTCTTTGGGATGTAAAGTAGAGTGAATTTCCACAGTGACATGAATAAAAGTGTTTTAATATAGTCTCATAGGGCATGAGTAAATTCTCCAGAGACTGAATAAAATGGAGAACCCAGTTAATGTGTCTACAATGTACACAACTAAATCAACTTACAGTGGTTCAAATCCTTTTAGAAACTCATGTAGTTGAATTGCCCCTTGTGCATATTCCAGAGGATTATGAATCCTAAAATAAAGACAATGTGCCACGTATCATGCAAGTGTTCCTATTATTACTTAGAAGACGTCTAAAATGACCCACTTCATAGTTGCAGGTACTGTATTGTGAGTGAAGCGCAATGCTTTCCTACACACGTGTATTTTCTTGCAGCTAATATGCTTAACTTGCACCCCTTACCACATAAAAGGCAAAAAAGTAGTTTATGACTCTGTGTGGGGGGTGGATGGGTGGGTGGGTGTGTACTATTGAGAACTGAACCCAAGACCTTTACACTGAATTACATCCCCAGCCCTTTTTTATTTTTTATTTTGAGACAGAGTCTTACTAAGTTGCCTAAACAGGACTCGAACTTGTGATCTTCCTACTTAGTCTTGAGGTAGAGCACATGCATATTTTTTGCCTTTGACATCTTACATGCTCATGTCTGAGGTGCAGTAAAGAAATATTGGTGATACTAAAAGATATCAGGAGTCAATATTTTAAATCTGTCAGTGATCCAAGGACACCATGTTTCTCCTGACCAAGTGAATCAATGCTGATCTTAAAGTCTGATTGTAATGCAGAAGTCAACAGGAGGCCATAGCATGTAGAATTAACATGATACCCATCAGCTTGTGAGGGTAGAGGCAGGCAGCAGACTGTGATCCTAGTGTGCTCTCTCTTAAAAGCCACCTAAGAAGGCTAGCAACAGTCATCCAGCCCTTTTATCTGCCTTCTCCTAAAGATTTCAAGACAGCGATCTGAGATTGTGCAAGTCATAAATCATGTGTTTACCTTCATTAACTGGTATTCCATAGAGCCAGAGTTTTTAAGGTTTGCTTGCTGGATGGATATATTATGTTACTGAAAAACAGAAATGGCTGCTCTGCACGCCAGTGGTTAGTGAAACTCCAAGACGTAACCTTATCTCCTCAATTGATTTGAGGAAAGAATGCTCATAAAACATATATTGCTTTTCGTTAGGGGCTGATTTCTAAATAAACAGACTCAGTTATGGAAATTCTAGAAACAGGCAAAACAAAATACGCATTCATAAATGTATGTTTTAAAATCAGCCCTCTCACAACATTTGCCTTTTGTAAGTTTTTCAAAGATTGTAAAATCAGTTACACTGAGTTTATGATTTATAGCTATTGTATCTTAGCTTCTCTTTTAGTCACCACCCAAAAAATCTGAACTCCTCTGGAATATTTCTGCTCTGTTTTGCAGGCTGGTGTGCTTCTCTCCTCAGCAAGGCCCTTCTTAACGGTGATTAAAAGGCAGCCATTTGTTTTGCAAGCCAGACAAAGAAAGAAAAGAGGAAGACTTTGCTGCAGCAAATCTCCTATTCCTCTGGGCTCTAACAAACTAGAAAATGCTGGGGATTAGAGGACTGCACTGCCTCCAACAACATAAAACAGTGCTAATCCACAAAATGCAATGTTAATCTAAGTGGGTCTATCTTCTCTAATTTGCAGTGAACTGAGGTCAACTAGATTTTTATCTGAGCTCCAAACTGGGAAGCAGAAAACAGCAAAAATGAAACATCACAACTTGATTGGATCCTGCTTTTAGCACAAGATTGTACGACCCACTGCTGCACAGGATGCTTCCAGATTAGAAGGCCAAAGATAAGCAAGGAAATGTGGCTGGCCCCCGTGTTCACATTTATTTCAAGAAGAATAGGTACAGTAAGTACATCTACATAAATGTTAACATTGCACTATGGTTTCCATTTAAATTCCTAAGTTACTATGATAAAATTTGATCAGAAACCACTTGCATACTATTTAGCTTTTGCTCACTCTTACCAGCTAGCTAGCTAAATGGCCTACTACGAGCCAGTCAAACAAAATAGTGTAAAAAACTGTCCTTATCTTCAGTTAGCTTATATTTTATCTGAGGAAAGATCCAAATATGTAAAATAACAAACAATGCAGATAATATTTCAGTACAAAACTACAAAAGAGCTGGATGTGGTAGCCCATGCCTGTAATTCCAGCACTCAAGAGGCTGAGGCAGAAGGATCACAGCAAGTGTGAGGCCAGCCTGGGCCACATAGTGAGTTCACAGTCAGCCTACATAGTGAGACTTTGTCTTTAAAAAAAAAAAAAAAAAACTATGACAGAGCAGCAAATAATTCACATTTTTTTAATAACAGGAAGTATAAGCATTGTAAGAATTCAGTAGGGGAAGATGCCTTGGTAAGATGACAATGTGCTTTTTTTAATGAAGTAGGAAAAAAATCTTAATTTTATTTACTATGATCACAAAGTGATATGCTTAACCTCTCTAAGACTTGATTCAATTATCAATAAAATGATGTCTTGATTATAGGGTTACTGTAAGAAACTAATACATTATGTGAAAGGATTTTTGTAATCTGCAAAGAAGCTATAAAATGCCCACTGAGAAACTAGTAAAAGGAATTACATTATTAATTTTGGAAGTTAGAAAGGGTTTGAAGGTTGGAAGGGACTATAATTAACAGTGATTCCATACTTTATTATTGGAATTTTTATAATACTTGTACACTAATCTTGTTACAAAATAATATTAAAACTATATAAATATTAGCTGAAAGAATGCATATCTGGATATCACAAATTGGATGTAAAAACTAGTAACCCTACTTCTGCATAGATATGAAAAACAAGTCTCAGACTTGTTTTGAATTTGAGAATTTCTAAAATCCTAAAAATTTGCCAAACTTGGGAATAATGGTCAACTGAAACAGGGCTTTTTGCATACATTTTTTTAAATGGAGCAAATTTCACAGTCACCCAAAATAATACATTGATAATATGTAAATTAAGCAATTTTAGTTCATTAAAGTCAAGTATTTGCATGTATAACTTTACTTTCTAGGGTCCAGGCATTCAACTGATAACTCTGCAGACACAGAAGAAGTCTTCAAGCCAACTCCAGATCAATGCCAAGGACTTTCCATGTTAGCACGGTAGACCTTTTAGACTGAACTTGATCAAAAGTTGCTAACATTCAAGTGAGGGCAGGACCCAGATCCTCTTACTCTATATCCTTAGTCCCTGGTACTACGAAACAACTTATGAGTAGGCAGTAATAAATACTCTTTAAACTACTCTGGAGGAAAGATAATTCTAAAAATATTAGTCAACTGGCAGCTCAAGGAGACAGGTATACATGCTAAGACAAATACAACCTTTATAACTGTTTCTGGAAAAAAATCACTTAAGATGATTCATAAGCCTCAAAGACTAGTATAAATATAAGTGCCTTGACTGCAACATCATGAAATCTTTATGTGCCGTAGGTAGAGCAATTTGAGAGGATAGAGTGCATGAACTGAGATGAAATCATGGAGTAGTCCCATCAGAACCACCTTTCACTTGCTTTAGTAAAAATTTCTGAGGTTTGCCCCTTTCCTATTAATAGAGATGGGAAGAAAAAATGTTTCATCTTTTGTGTGCGTGTGTGTGTGTGTGTGTGTGTGTGTGTGTGT